TTCAGAAGGACACGGCTTAACGCTACCGATCCCCGGCTCTCTCTTTGTCATTCTACGCAGGCGAACTTATACGGATTACAGGCTTAGGTGCTACGTGGCGAGTTGGAACTGTTCCTGTTGCTTCTCGCCACTTCGTCCAAGTCGCCTGCATGGTGCGAAAGTTACCTGCTGCTTCTCAATTTATCTCTCGTTGCTACATCTTGTTGCTCGGGGTGTCAAAGTAGTTTTGTCATATTTTCGAAAGAAACGTATCGAAACGATCGTTATTCTTGTCAGAATTTTTTAAGCGTCGTCGAAGCAGAAGGTATCTTTCGCCAGTGTCCTGAAAATCCGCGCACGGCTCGAAGGACGAGAAAGAATCATCGCTGACTTCTCGGTTGACCGGTCGCCACCGATTCGTCGTTCGATTCGTTCTCGAGCTCGACACCGACGCGATCAAAATGGGTAGATTATTGTCAAGGAAGGAAAGAATAATGCACGTTCTTCGTAATCCCTACTTTTGAGCCCCAAGCAGCTAGCTATGAATTTCGCATACAAAGAAGGAGCGGTATCTGTGCGTGACGAAAGAAACAGAACGTCGCGCCGAATCAGGACTCGTTCGCCAGATCCTGCGATACGGCGTCGCTTCTACTTTTCCATTTCGCGTCGAGTGGCCTCTGGGTCGAGCGGTCTGTTCCTTTCAACGCACAAGCGATAAAAGTCGTGTATCTATGTACAAGTTTCGAGAAAAGTTAGTGCGCATGCTACTTCCCCTAATGTCGACGAGAAGATAGAGAGGTCAAAAATTCAATAGAGAAAATGCAATCGGAAGGAACGCAACCGATCCGATCGCCGTTCGTCGAGTTGTGGGAAATACAGTGGAAAACGTTGACCGATCGTTAGACCAAAGAATCTTCCATTTGTTTCTTTACTTTTTTCCATGGTCTTCCGACTCGTGTCTCCCACAATTCGATGAAACACCGTTGCGATCGCCAGTTCCCGCAATAATGTACAGTATTCCTGTTTCAAAAGGGATAAGAGAAAGTGAGCGAGTGAGAGAAAGAAAGAGGCGACAAAGACGGAAAGTTGTCGTTGGCGGGGGGAGAGGAAAAAAAAAATATCGTCGTGGAAAGTGTGTCAAGTGCGTGAATTCGTTGTTTTCGTCGACGTAGCTGAAAATAGACACGAATGACTTCGGCGATTCACGGACGTTGAAAAGAGTTCGGAAACAATTGCAATTATCGACGCGAGAAAACGGTAAGGGTGGATATGTATTGGGGTTGTCACTTCTGGTACTTATCGTCTTCTGACAAATTTATTCAATCAAACGTACGAAATACGATAGAATTCGCATATAGCTCTAATACTAATCGCAAGATCAAGTGATGCCGCACTGCGAATCGTGGTACGTCGCGTTTCGAACACGATCAGTCTTGACGAGCGTTCGCTTACGAACCTATTACTCCTAAGTTTATAGAAAATAACGTTACTCGTGTCGTCTCTATGGTCTAGGTATTAAGGCTAATCTTTTCGTGTACTTTGCGTTTCTTCTTCTCGAGTAGCTTACGGAGAAATCACACTTATTGTCTTCAACGATATCGGTTACACCTACGCGCATCCGTTAAGGCACTTGTATCGAGGGAAACAAGCGTCGACGATGTAAAGAAACTTCCCGAAAAGATACTAGCATCCGTGACTTACAAAGCGATTAAAAAATAATAGAAAAAAAAATCGTATCTTATCTAGCAGAAAAAAAAAAGAAAAACAAACACAATCGTATTACAAGAAACTAATCGTAAATTCGATGTACAATAATAAATATCAGTCGGAGTTCTTGATTACGAGAAACGAAACTCGATGTACATTTTTATAAGCAAACTCGTCGTTTCTTTTTTTTTTTTGTCTTTTTTTTTTGTACGTTAAGCTCGTTTTACGCTAACTTGGAATGAGTATTTCGCACGATTACCACCGATGTATGCACAATCAAAAAAAAAAAATTAAAAAAAAAAAATACACGCGCGTATTACTTAAGAAAGCAGGAATATAACGGTTCGACAATTCAAAGATTTCGATAAAAATAGATAGGTTCCCCTCGCAATACGCATCTTCGTATTTCTTCGCATTTCTTTTTTTTAATTCGATGCAAACTTTCAAAGTCGTGGTATATTATAGAAAAAAGAAATATATATATATATTATATGCGTGTGTATAAAATCGAAGTTCTCCAGTCCTCTGGAAATCGGACGTTACCTCACCCCCCTCCCCTCCCCTCCCCTCCCCTCCCCTCCCCTATACTCTGGAAATCACAAACGTTATAGGCTGACCGCGACAAACGTTGGTTTCGGAGACGATCGTCGACGGTCGAGCAGTAAAAAATCTGAAATCTGTTAACTTTGAAGCTGAAATTCGTCGATCGTTCGAATCGAGAAAAAGGCACACGCACGAGCGACCGTTCCGCTCAGTCGATCTCGTGTTTCGGCGTGTAAGCCAGCAAGTAGGCCTCCATGTCTCCAATCTTGTCGAAGTGCTGGCGACGGATGTGTCTCAACCAATGGGCCTTCCGTTTGCAACGCTGGGGACAGAACGGACATTGAAACTGTGGCTCCTTGCCGCACTCCCAGTGCATGTGCCGCTGCAACGAGTCTTTCCTCATGTACGATCTTCCGCATCTGCTGCACCCGAATTGTCCAGGTGGCTTCTTCCCAACGTAGTTGTAGGCCTTCGGTATCTTCAGCTCGGCGAACGGTAGCCCCTGCTCCTGAATCTTCCACGCTTGAACAGGCAGATCGGCGTTCTCCTCTCTGTTCTCCATCATGTCATCTGCAATTCGGAAAAAACAACAACTTTAGGCTTGTCCCCCGTTCGCGTCACGCCTCTGTAGCACCGTGACTGGCCACACACTTGGTTTTACACACTCTGTAAGTTCGAGGTAGTGGCATAGATCGCCGCGATTCGAACGGATAGGGATCTAGAATAAGATTTTTCAAGGGAAAACAAGGATAACGAAATTGCATTTGAGACTCTGTGTTCCAGTTATTAATTGCTACAACGTTCCGAATACCTAGTAGTCTTAGCAATTAATATTTCGAATTCGAAGCCTTCAGCGCAATTTCGTCGATTCTTATTTTCTTCGATCGAGAACTGTCCGTTGGTCAGAAGACAGTAAACTACGAATCTTTTTAATTATTCAGCTGTGAAGTGTCATCGTGTACGGTATCGGGGTACAGACGTTTCGTCGCTCCAACTTCTTACCACTGTCGCGATGAAGGTCTTTTTGTGTGCCAACGAAATTACATTTATTTTGTTTATATGGCAACGACGTTCATTCGTCGGTTTAAAATTAATCGCAGAATATCTCGTTTTTACTATTTCCTATAGAAATCAGGGAACGTACCTGTTTCCCAAGAGTACCTGTGATTCGGGTCTAAGAAACCAAGTAGAAAGAAAGAGAAATATCGGGTGAATAAACATGACACACTTTTCTGTTGGTATTCTTTCATCAGTTTTTAAGTTTACTGTTCACATCGTTTCGTTGACCGTAACTTTTGCGCGGATATTGTCTCTGCAGCTTCAATGTTACGGTTTCATCGCGAAATTCTTCTGGTCCGTATCGGGGTGTTGCGTAGCGAAATGTCTGAGCAGGTCCCCCCTTCGGTGCAAACGATAATTACAGAGCGTGCAACGAAACTTCTTGTCCATCCCGCAGATTCGCCGATGAGTCCACCAGGATTTCGAGGATCTAAGGAATCTCAAGCACTTTGGACACTGATACGGCTTCGTGTTGTCCCAGGATATCGAACCACCTGAAAAGATCAGACACCCATGAACTACCGTTCCAATATTTCTGATCCAGCGATATTGTACGCAGGTTCAAGGAACACTAGCTAGAAATAATAATTCGATTGTACCTTCTTGCGGTCGAACGACACGTTGCAACCTGGAAAAGTGTAAAGGGATGAGTTACACCGTTTAAAAAAAAAATCCACGAACATATCGTTCCGTATAAAAGTGGATCTTTCGAAAAAGGACTATTTTGGTACATGTTCCGTTATTTATTCAAAATAGAATGTAGTACAATATAGTGTCGTAGAAGGGAGACATAACTCTTTGCGCTCCACTAGCGCCGCAAACTTTATTCGTTTAAAATTAATTAATCGTATTCAAATTAAAAGATTCTCAGAGTGCAAAGGGTTAACGTTTCACATAGAACGACGATCTTTCTAACAGTCACTCGTATTGTCATCGAATAACAGCGCGCACCACAAACGAATAGAGTTAATTAGAATTAGCGAGTGATCCGTCACCGAGCAGAACACAGATTGGACAACAACGTCATCGAGTAGGGCATCGCCCAGTCGAACTTTGACACAGACTTGCTGGAAAGAAAACCTTGGATCGCGTTTCAGCGAAGCTTGTCGCGTCCGTGGCGGAGCATGTGCCTCTTCAAATTCGTCTGTCTGAGAGACCTGTAAGCGCAATAATGGCAGCTCCACATTGGTTCCCGGTTGCACTCGTTCTTCTGGTGGAATTGAAGTGCGGGCAGCGTAGTGTACGTACGCGGACAGTTGTTGCACGCGAGTTTCTGCGGTCCGCCGATCACGTAGACGGTACCCTGCTTTAGTTGCCTGAAGGGGTCTGAAATTATACAAGAAAACCGACCAATTAGCGATCGACGGCGGCCAGATGCTGGTCAGAAGTTAAAAAAGCTTAGACATTCGCACTGCGCGACGGTATGTACACGATGCGATCGATATCGAGAAAAGAAACCTTCCTTGAACATACATGACAATTGGTAATTGATTCAGTAATCTTTTACTGTAAGGCCAATCCTTGTTGACGATGAGAAAAAATGAGATCAACAATTTCGGAATGAAACATTGGAGACTCGACCCCCTCGGTTCGGATACCTCGATTTCACGAAGCGATCGATTTAAAGTGGATTGATCTCGAAAAAAGATAACCCTATGAACCCTGTTGTTCGTTAAGAATTAGTTGGAAACGTAGATTTGCGTTGTATAGGATCACGTCACCGGGAAGATGTTGTGCGATTTTATCTTGTGATCCACCAAATTGTCCCGTCTGTAGAACTTCATCTGGCATAGACCGCAACTATACTGCGGCCCCTCGGTGTGGATCCTCATGTGGGACATCAAGTTGTGCCTGTACGTGAAGAATCCCAGGCAGATTTTGCATTGAAACATCGGCGTTTTGCGGCACTCGGTGCTCAAATGACGCTTTAAGCAGGACTGTCTCATGTAGAAACGGCCGCAGTCGGGACATTTGAAAGCTGCTTCGCCGCGTGGGTTTCGAGGTTGCTCGGTCGGCATCGGTTCGACTTGCGGCAAGTACACCACGTTCCTGGCATCTGGGACCGGATTGTGCCAAAAACCTGAAACGAAAAGAAACGTTCAAGTTGATGTTCCGTCTGAACGATGACGCTGCGATCGACAACACACCGAACGGATAAAATCTTCGCCCTTAATACCGGGCAAACCAGAGTTAGGTTGCGATTACTTTTGTAGCGATCCCTCGCAGTAAAGCGTAAGGTATACATTTATAGTATTCGTTGCAAGCTTTGCGAGAACTTGTAACGAAGACTGGAAATTTATGTTATGAGCCAGTTACTACTGACTTCGGAACTCGTTCGTTTGCTCGCCTTCTGAAAGCTTCGAGTGACATTTTTACCAATGAAATGTCATGGAAAACTCCATTAATCGATAATTAAAAATATTGCGCTAGGAAGACAAGGATCTTTGAAAAAAAAGAAAACAAGACAGCTTAACTAGAAGGATATGTTCTTTTTTTTTTTTTTTTTTTGTAAATTCCTGAGGTGGTGTACACTAATATAACAGACTTAACGAAATGTAATTTTTATTTCTTGTAACAATGGACATACACCGTTCGTAAATCAAACGTGGCAGCCTCCCGAAGGCAATGGAATTCATTGTGCATATCCATAATATTATCCGATGATAAAATAAATAAATATTCCTGAACGTGTTTAACGTTTCGTTACGTTAAATAAGAATTTCTAGTATCGGCACATTCGGTGCGAACCCTTACTATTTAAATTAGTAGAGTTAAGAAGGGAAGGGCTTCAGGGGTTACGACCACGATGGCGTACATGTTACTACAACGAAATAAAATGCATCAGAGTCTGCAAAATTAAAATGTTGCGCTCAATTTCCGTGCGCCATTGGTTCGCAGACTGGAAATTATTGACCGACCACGTTAAGTGGCAAAGTGCCGACGAACTAAAAGTGATAGAAACTAGATGTGAGCCGCAAAGTCAATAAAAAAATACGTATATCTCGAGGCGAAGCGGCGAATCTACGTCGACGGCAAGTTAACGTAATCGGTCCGTAAGCGTGCGAACCGTCACGCGCCGCAGCTTGTCTCTCCCTGCATCGAAGTCACCAGTCTCGCCTGTCAAGCAGACCTCTCCTCCCGTCTGTACGTGTCCGATTTCTTCACGTCCGCCACGTGAACGTTATAGTGCCTCAGCAGACTGTGCTTGTGCTTGAACTTGGCATGGCACAGCACGCACTCGAATTGAGCCTCTTTTCCGCACTCGAGCCTCTTGTGCCGCTGCAACGATATCAGCCTTCGGTACTGTCTGCCGCAGGTGTCGCATGGGTACGTCTCGAAATTGACGGGTAGCCGGTAGAAACACGCTGAAAACAGAAATTCTTGGTTAGCGGAACGCTCGTAAATCCGGGAATGTTTTCTCGATACCCACGAGAGCTCCGAGGTATCTATACCGGAGCATTCTCCCTTTGCATCGTCACAGTTCCAAACGGCTGAGCTTTTTTCGGGTACGTTTTGCGAGTAATCAAATGCAAGTTCGAGTGGTTTGCGACACAAAAACGTGGATATATGTGGGAAAATAGAATGACACGTGCGATCGTTTAGAAAATAACCCGCAACAAAGATTGTCTTTTTATTAATAATAATATTAATAATAATAATAATGATAATAATGTTAATAATAATATTAATTGCTGATAATAATCGTGATAGATATTCCATAGTTCGCTTGGTAAACCTTTCCAAAAATAAAATAGAAAGAATAGAAGAAAAAAAAATTGAAAGTGCTAAATACCGAAACGAGTATTCGTTAGGGACAATTTCCATTCTCTCCTCGCCGATACGCCGTAAATGAAATGAGAGAGACGAAAGACGTTTGAAAAAAAAAAATAATAAAAATAAAAATAAAACGGAAAAAAAAAAGAAGGAAAACTGAAACACGTGTTGCTTAAATATTAAACGATTAAGAGTTTCGGTAACAAAGGTCGGCGATACGGGGAATTAATTACACTTGATCGATTCTCAAAAAATAGTCTCGGAAACTCATCGCGCAAGATTCACAACGTTGAGGTATCAGGGAGACGGTATAACGAGTATATTCTACGTTAGTTTGCAGGCACGTCGACGCGAGTGTCCGCAAATACTGATATCAAAAATACTGGACCCCGATCCAGGGACAAAAGTCTCTCGACGGGGACCTCTTTCTCTTCTCTCTTTTTTTTTCTTCTCTTGTATATACACGCTCTTTCACTTTGCGCGCGATACGTTCATAAATGCTCGTATAAAAATGGAAAAAAAAAAACTTTGCTTCTTAAAACGCTAAAAAAATGATTCCGCGTAGAACGACAAATGAGTCGATCTCGAGAGAATTATGGAATGTTGTCAAGTACGATGCGCGATCGAGCGTGTAATTCCTCAGCGTACGGATCTCGATAATCGCGGGAGCAGTTTGTACGACGCAGAAATGAGCAAACACTCTTACAATACGTATTTTAATTTGTTCGGCATTTTTTACGTAAACGAGAATTTTGCTCATCTCTGGTACGAGACTTTAGTCGACTTAGAGGGAATCTCGAACCTCAGAGGAATTAGAGATCGGCTCCTTTGTTCGTTCGAGCGGACTTGAATCCTCTCGTCGTTATATAACAAGGGTAAGTTTCTCCACGTCGATAAATTCGCTTAAAGGTACAGTGATTCTTACAAATTCTAGCGTCTAACCTTGATTGTCGAGCGTAGTGTTTCAATCATAACAGACTTGCTCAGTACCAAATTTGATATTCATTGTCAAACGATTACAAAGTTACTTGAGTACAGAAAATTTGAATCGAATAATAACGTTTCCTTTTCTTGGCTGATAATGGCCGACTACGATGATTGAAATCCATACACAATAAATACAATCGCGATCGATAGAGACGCGTAGCGGTCGTTAAGAAAATAGGATACTATTTAACCCTCTAGCCTGTTATCGTCGATCGTCTCATGCAAAGTGAGTCGAAAATTTCGAATATGTTTCTTTTCCATCGGCATTTTGCTACCTGTTAAATGCATACGTCGCTGAAGTACAGAATTCGTTGTTCCTCGTAAACGTGGAGGAAACAACGGAGCGAAGAATCGTAGTTCTCGCGTTTGTTTTCCATTTTAGGGCGAAGATGGAAGATCGTATAATTATTATTTTCTATCATAAGTCTATAAGGTGCTCTCAGGTAACCGATTTTCTGGAGATTATTTCGCAATAAATCGCCAGCGATACGCGACGGTCGTGCTTGACGCACGAACGATTCGCATCTTACTGAAACGTTTCGTTCCTATTAAAACAAGGCACTTTTCACCCATATCCTTATCACGCTCGGAATGATCGGTAATTTCGTACCTACAACTGCCTTTACGCTTCCATTTACCTAGTAAAAAATTTGTAACGTTCCAATAACGAAGCAGCGTTAACATCTAAATATAAAAATACCTACGATGTAAGTGTACTAGAAAATACGCAAAATTCTGTGGTAAAAAAAACTTTCGAACAGTGGTAACACGCGATCGTCAATTTTGCCTCGACGTCAACACGACAAGAACAGAGCTATCGCCCCGATCCTTCCGTTATCGCTTTAAGTCGTTTAAATCCTGAGACTCGAACGTATAGTAGATATCGCGCGTTTCTGGAATGTTGAGTTAAATGTCTGCAATCCACGAAAAACACGCAGACTGCAATTGTTCGTGGTACGATCGTCATAGAAATTAAATGCCGTTGAACTTAAATACCGATTTCTGGTTTATCTAGAAAATAAAAATACCACGCAAATTAACCGGCGATCGATTAATAAACCACTTCTAGAGAATACACAAAATAACCCTTTAAATAGAAGTAGAGAGATTGAGATTATGTACACGAAGAACCGAAATACCACGATAAATTCTTACGCTGAGGTAATAAATTGATTAAAGAAAAAAATAATCTAATAACTTTCCTACGATAGTCCGCCATTCGGGTCCCCTAAGCTTATGCTTCTAAGTCGGTAAAAGTATTCGATACAACTAAAGATTCTTCAGCGATTACGTCGGCGTGGAGGGGTTAAAAAATAGGCTAGATTGTGGACATTGTATCACGAAGACGGAGATGCGTGTCTTCGTAAAAAGCTGCCGAGAGCTACCTAAATTAACGTATCCTGTCGACCCGACGTAGTCCCTCAGAGACTTTGAAAAATAACGCTCGCGGCGATTCTCTCACGTTTGTTATTTACAATTGTTCCCGATGTATATTACACTCCACTTACAACCCACAAGAAAGTCGCCTAAAATACTCGATGCTAGAAACTCGTCGACTGACACGTGACATTTCCAGGACGATCGTGCCCAACTCGCGGAGACTCCGAGTCTCCTAGGCGCCCTCGTCGTAACCGATCTTCTGATGATGCCGTTTGTAGTGCACCGTGAGATTGCCTCGTTGCCTTGCCTTGTAAGGACACTCGGGGCATTGAAAGGCCGGCGGTTTGCCGCCGCACTCGACCATCTCGTGGCGACGCATCGTGCTTTTCCATCGGTAACCCTTGCCGCAGAAACGACACCTGAACTTTCGTTGCTGCTCGTGAGGGACGCCCATGTAGACGACGCTGAGGTCGCGCGGTTGGGGCAGCACCTCGAAAGAGTCTGGGAAAACCACCTCACGCGTCGAGGAGGTGGTGCGCGCGTTGTTGTTGTCGGTCCCGCTGTCGTAGCTGTTGCTGTCACCCGCGTTGCTGCTGACGCGTCTGCTCGCCACGACGACGTTGCCTCGAGTGGTGGCCGTCGATGACGATGTCGACGTGCGGCCCTTTTTGCCCGTCGGCTGCTGCTGCTGCTGCTGCTTGTAATCGGACCGCAACAACGACAGCAACGCAACCATTCCTGCAACAGGTCCCGGCGCCAAGCGAGACGCGAGAGCGAGGTAAGAGGTTACTTTATCAAACGAAACAGAAAATCGGGCGGAGAAAACGAAAAAGTGTGAGCTAGGAGAGGGAAGTGGATCGTTGGTACGGGACGAGGATCGAGAACAGAGGCGTTTCTTGACCCGATGCACGGATGATGGTTGTTATGCGACTGGCGAGAGAGATCAGTGAGATTAAACCCGTAACCAACCCAACACATAACGTATCAGCCAATAGCCCCGAGAGATAGGTGCGCCCAGGGTAAAATTTTGCCGTGTTTACGTGAAGAGGCGTGAGATTCTTAAGGTTGCGTAACGAGATGGAAAGACGCCAAGCGTGCACCCTACGCGCCACCCATAGTTTGTACAATGTTCGCCGTCAGTGTTGGGCAAAATAGTAGTCTGCAACTCTATAATCATGATCGATCGCGATTACACGCTACCGATTTCAAATGTATTTTACCGATTAGAAAAGTAACCGCTGCCCAACTCTGCTCGCGGTGCGCGATCTGTGTCTCTCCATCTCCTCCGAGTCCCGTCTTACATGAAAAGATATGCCAAATTCCAACCCTCCAAACAAAGTCACCAAATAGGATGCTTCGTTGATGATCGCAGAATGATCTCGCGTCGTAGATATTCAGAGAAATGAACGAATATACAAAGAAGTACTTTTAGCGGACGAGTTCGTGTAATATACACAAGCGACTGTTGTATTTATATACTTCGAGACACTGTACAGTTCAGAGCAGAGACAACGAGACTCTGAACGACAGCGACAGGATCTTTCTTCCTTTCCTGTCCTCGAAACGAACGCGAGCGTTATTCGCGAAAGACGTTGCATCGAAGGTTCAATGAACGTTCTTGTGTTTCTGGATGCCGCTCAGGGTGAGCCTTTTACTGCAAATGGGACAAACGAATTGCTTTTCCTTGCCACATTCGTACAGAATGTGTCGTTTCAGGCTACTTTTATGCTTGTATTTGCGATCGCATTGCGCGCATGGATACAATTTCTTCGACGTGTCCTCGACCTGCGAGGTAGAATACCCTGAAACACAAATTCACATGATTAAATTCGATGCGTGTTCGGGAACGCGTCATGGACACAATCGCGACTACGGACAAACACAAAGTTAGAAACGGTTGACGAAACACATGTTTACTAGGAGATCGAACGCATTCTACGACGAACGAAGGGACCTCAGGAGCATACGATGATGGATACGTTAACGTAAAACACAGTACCAGTTCTCTGCGGAATAAACGACTGATTAATAAACATTTGAACAGCACGAGGACCATAAGACAAAGCGTGCTTAATTGCCGGAACAATTTATTCGTGTAATTCGAAAATTATAAGGAAAGGTGTCGGCGAGGATAGAAATCCAAACACCTCTTTATTCGCATCGGTTACAATATTCTTGTACGTCTGCGTGCACTATAGTCTCGTCTTTGCACTCGCGAGGAACGATTCGCGTTCGCGAAACGACTTCTCGACGCTTTAGTTAACCGGGTACCGTGTTTGAAAGACGGTGCACGAGTCCAGTCTTATTCCTTCACGTAACACTGTAACAATTTTCGATGCTTGTGCGCCACGTGGGAGTCCAAATTGAATTTCCTCTTTGAGCTGAAGCGACAGTAAGGACAGTGAAACTGCGGAAGAATGCCGCACTCGAGCTTCAAGTGTCGGTACAGGGAAGATGCGTTCGCGTAGATCTTCTGACACTTGCCGCAAGGGTATGCTCTTCGTGGCATACTCGGTGTCCTGACCCAATGGAGCAGCCCGAAATCTGCGAAAAATCGTAGCGTCAGCTATAAGCGGCACAGGTGCTGCGGAGCGCGACATTCAAGAGCAGCGTTTCAACTTAAACATAGACGAGAGTTTGTCAAGGGAGAAAGTGGGGGGAACGCGAAACGATTTTCTGACGCGGTAGCTTTCGAAACTTTCACGTCGAATTTTACACATTCTGTGTGTCGTAAGCTCTCGATTGAAGTAATAGCAACAAATACTTGAAGCGGCGCGAAGTGGTCGTTCCAAGAGAACGAATACAGAAAAAAGCAGCCTGAAAAAAGAAACTATGAAATCGTTGACGTAATCGCGAACGATGGGCTGAAAAGGAGGCGCCACCCTTACGGTTTCAAAAGTTTTTCCATTCTTCAAATCAACGTTTTGTTTCTCGTGAAAATTAGCTGAAAAAAATTCCAGATATACCGTTCGACCGTAAAAGTGACGATTCTCCTGAAACTCCAAGTGGCACTGGCCCCAGAGCTCGTCTCCAAACAAATAAATTTCGATGCTCACCGTCAACGTGTAATACGCATGTATTAGTCTCTTGTATCAGAATAGAATAACATTTATTTCTATAAAAAAGTATCTGAAATAACAACAAAGATTGCGCTGAAACGGTGCGCTCGTCCTCTTCGAATCTCTCGTATCGCGCGGTAGCAGAGAAACGTATCAATTGTTAACGTTGTAGAGCATTTTGTAGTGAATCTGTCTGATGAATTCGTCGTTTCCAGACGTTAGGAGAACGGGCCAACATTCCGGGTTCTCTCGGACGTGCCGATGCAAGGACTTCCTCCATTTGTACGACTTCGAGCAGGCCAAGCAGGTGTTCCACTCTGAAAAATTAACGCGTTCGCATCGTCAATAGTTTGATCGACCACCGGGAACACATGGACGTGGGTAATGTTACTGTCCCTCTGCATCCAACCTTTACCTTATCTCTAAACCAAACTCGATTCGCGCGTCTGCGTTGTTTGTGTATGTTTCGAGTACTGGGAGGGTCGCGGATACGGAAATGACGTATCAAGAAAAATGCGAGCGAACTCGCATCGATATTACGTTATACTCTAAATGTCCCTAAGCTAGGAAGTTCACGGGCGTAGGAAAGAGTTTATCGGTTATCCACAATGTCCAACTCCTCTTATTAGATCGTTGCTCAAGACAGATCGGTAACTTCTTAATGATTTATTTACAAAGATGATTAGGGCATGCTTTCGAGAGGAACATACACTATTTTACAGATGATTCTCTTCGGTAAAAAAGAATGCGTGATTTGTATCCGCGTGAGAGTACTTCTACGTGCTCGATTATGGTGTCACACCCGGAAAGGGGATGATTTTTCGTGAAAAAATTAATCGAATGGGTGTAATACAATTTATATACGCTCTTTGTTTTCGAGAAAATTGATTTTTAGACAGTTGTACGCGCGGAGGTTGACCGACGCGTCTGACCACAGTAGACGCCTAAGTAGAAACAGCCAGTAATGGTCTGACGCGCCAGGTACCCAGTACGCAAACTTCCCAAACTTCTAAAATTAAATCTCTCGAAAACGAAGCCTCGTATGAAAAAAAAAAAAAAAATAGAAACTCTACTGCACATTTTCGATTCATTCTCACTCGGAGAATCGGTTCCATTCGGAAGTACCACGAAATATCGCCACAGCTCGCGTACACTAAATCGTCAGAGGAATCGACGACTGCCAGAGTCGTTGTTCACCGATCACACAGTCCCATAGTTCGTTTTCCATGTCCCGTAGGAACCGTCGTCGACACCGCCGTGCTTTTTACGCATGTGTTTCAACAAATTGCACCGTAACTTGGTCATCTTCGGACAATACAAGCACTGATATTTCGGTGGCTGGCCACACTCTTCCCTGACGTGTCGTGTCAACGAACTGTAACACATGTACACGTTCCCACAGGTGTTGCACTCGTGCACTTGTTTCCCATTCGGGTTACCTGTAAAAAGAAATCACAATGCTCGGTTAGTAAAACTCCAAGATCGATCTTCACCCCATTTGGGGGACTGCTTGGCCAGGTTACAGCGTTACGTCACTCGCGTTGTTATTAGAAGAGTGACATAGAACGTGTGATAGCTGAGATGATACAAAGGCTGAACGATTAGGAAATGTAAATAACAGAGCAGAGTATCAACGATCAGTGGAGCAACGTGAAACCGTGTTTATTAATTTAGCGGAGAGAAAGAGGACGAGAAGCATCGTGTGAGTTTCCTTAAACCTAACTCGCTCGCAAACGTCATGAAAGTAATGGCGAGATAATCAATAAATAACATTAAATATTGACGTAAATCCGCCTACCAAAGACAGATGTTTCAAGCTTCCTATACATATCTGCACTTCAAAAGCAAGCTACGTCAAATCCACTTGTGTATCTTTTTCGTCTTTATCGCCTGTCTTTAAATAACAAAGAATAATAAATCAAGCGCGCACGTTAAAATAAAAGCAAGGCACAAGTTTGCGATTCACTCGAGTCGATTCCTCATGCACGTGTTAGTACGCCGCACAAGCTCCAGCGTACCTTCGGAGTCTGTTCTTGAACGAGAAAGAAAAACGAGGTCAAGATACACGACTGCAATTACGTATAACGATGCTTCGATGTCACTTTATTGATGCTGTTATCTTAAAACGACGTGCCTGTAATACACGCTACACAATTGCGATACATGCTTTCAACCAGATCGTCATCCATTGTTGTTTGTCGTTAGTTAAGAGTTAGATCGAGAGGAAAGGAAACAGCGAAACGTTAACGCACGAAAAGACACTCGGAGCTCGTCTGGTCCGTTTTATAATAAATCTTAGTTTTAAGTGCAGCTTGTAAAAATAAAGTCTATTTTATCGTCTCGCGACGCACACACGCGCTATGTACATATTCAACATGTTTCCATAGACCGTCAACGCGGACAACGCTCACAAAAGTTCTCGACCACAGATTAGTGCTGTTAAATCAAATGCATAGTTAACAGAACCGAAGAAATAAACGATACATTGAACGCGCTCGATGATAACGAAACAGTCGTACCATGTTCCGGATAACCTACCTGGAAAACAATAGCTACCTTTTCTGAACAACCGTGCCAGACCACTTTGCGATCGGTTATCCAAGAGACAGTGCACACACAACCTTAATTTATAGGAACAACATATCGCTTGAACCGCAATGGCGTTATAAAGAGTCTGATCGCGATATTTCTCGACGAACGATCATTGTTGAAACATTTCAATTTACGTCTTCGGCACGCAGCCGTGTTCCTTCTTCAGGTGGTTGAGGAGGTTGAACTTCATGGGCATGATACTGTGGCAGAAGGGACACGTATACAACACCCTGCCGCACTCCTCTCTGACGTGTCGATTTAGAGCCATTCTCGACCTGTACATCCTCTTGCACTCGCAGCATTCGTGGAAACCTGAAAGGAAACGAGAAAGATACCATTAAGCACAACAACCCCGCCAAATTTCGCGATTCGTGAATAAGAATCTTTCGCCCAACGCCTTCGACAGTTTGGAAGTCTACGGGAATTAGGAGAATCCTCTGAAACAGTACATATACACACACATATCGTATTTCCGCAACGTTACGTTCCCCGCCAGAGTTTTATTATTTCTACGTTTTCACCTTTCCGTTTCGTCTATCGATACCTGTACAATCGAACGAGTAAAAAAGCACAACTTCTTTTAAAACGTTGACTGCCAAGCCCATTCCAAGATTTATTTAGAATTTCTTATAGATTATATTTTAACCCGATATTTACAGTTTGAATGGCGCGCCTTAAAAATGTCACCACTATGACGTGGCCGTCAACGTGTTAACTCGGAGTAAATAGAATTCGGTACAAACTTGTTCTTTATTCGTGCGAAAATATACAAGAAGCTCGAGCGTCGCGCAAGGTTCGTCAGGTCCTGACTCGGGTCTTCTAAACGGTTGGCTACGTTAAAAATTACGGTCTATAAAATCTTACACATAGCAGTCCATGAATGGTTCTTAACCGGAAGAATTCGTTGCGAGAAGTGAAGAAGCGTAAAGTTAATATCGAAAGGGTAGACTTTTCATTCGTTTCCTGGGCAGTCGTATAATTTCTCCGTCCATCGTAGAACCCAGGTAACTGTCTACTCTCCGCGAATTCGGACGGTGCACGACTCGCGTCCTAACGCGACAATCCTGGCCGTGCTTTACGCGCAAATGACGGATCAGGCTGTCCTTCAGGTTCATCTCGCGAGGACAATGAGGACAATGGTAGGGTTTCTTCCCGCACTCTTCGCGCTCGTGCCGCACCAAGCTCTTCCTCCATTTGAACGCTTTGCCGCAGGAACTGCAAGGATAGACCATGGCTGAAACACAGAAAATTCATCGTTCGTTATTAGGAATTCCATCGAATCAACCCGTGTCGTCTATTCCTCCTGCGATAGGACGGCGTTTCGTTGGGACGTTCGATCGAACGTGGTTTTCGATTGCCTGTTCGAACGATAAGAGGAGGTGGTTGCGAAACGAAAGCTTCTTTTCGCCTCTCGTCCAACAAATGACAGCCCCTTCGTTTCGTTTGCAAATACTCTTGCAGTGATTCTTTATTTTTGGCTTTACGAAAATACATGCATTTACGAGATTACTAGAGATTACGAGTTATGTTCAGGCGCGCGCGCCAATGAACGACGCTTTTCCTCTATCGTCTTCGCCTGTCGTTAACCCCCTGTAACCCAAGTTATATCTGACTTCTGAAAAAAGTATGCAAGAAGGTATCGATGATAGGAACAATCGATTATATAAAAATTTGTGATCGACGGTTGTTGTAAATAAGTTACTTAATGACAATGTAGGTGGTTCGGGTACAGAGGGTTAAATCCAAGCGGTAAAATCAGTTACGCATTTTACAAAACAACCAACGATTGGGATTTGTAACGCAATTACAATTTGACCAATCTGCTTCTAGTTTCGAGACGAGTCTTCGAATCGTACAACTGAATGAACCTGAGGATCACGCGATGAAACAAAGCATTGGGGGACGTTAATCGAGACCAGCGGCGCGAGAAGGATTTGCTAATGGATAATGCTTACGGCTAATTCATCAGCCGAGAAACCTTGCGTTCTACGTAACCTATAAAGTTAGCGCGAACTATGTTGCGAAAGAGTGACAGTAGGTATTTGTCGCTTGACGCGAACGATACGGTAGTTAGGAAAAGATTTTTAAGCATTACGCGCGATCAGTCCGTCGAGGTGTTCGCTAGCTTGCGAACACTTGATGTAGCAAGCGTAGCGTCGATTTAATAATAAAGCGCTCATCGTAAAGGAAATCAAAATTTGTCTGTCACAGGAATGGGCTTGAAACATCGAGGAACATCTCGAATACCGAATACCGAATGCGGGTGTTCAGCACGTAGGACGAGTACTGAACGTGCTAACACCTGTCTTCAAATTTATGACGAAAGATTTTTTAGAGGATGTGGGGGATCTGTCCAAAATTTTGCATCCAAAGTTCACCCATCCCTGCGCGCAGATTATTGTCCTGATGGAAAATAGACCGATGAGTCGTATTTTCGTCATCTTGGCCGCGCAGCAAGATAATTACGGGCATCGCCGCCGCAAGTTTCCTGCGCGAAGGAGGAAGTATTTAGTTAGATTCCGCGCGCTCCACCTTCCTCGCCTTTCTTCGTGTTCGTTTCGGAAAACCGTTCCTGTCTACCGTGGGAGGAACGTCCTGGGACTGGGTGGATTAGACACGAAGAAGCTGCGACGCGGATTAAGGCAACTCGATAGCGCGTTGGCTGCGGCGTTCACCTATCGCGTTCGATTGGTTCACGTGTTCGGCGAGGTGACCTTGAAGTGCTGCTCGGCCTGGTGAGCGTGAAGAATGAAAGCCTTGAACGCGGCGAACGGACAGAGCGGGCACTTGAACTGTGGCGGTTCGCACTTGTGCTTCAAGTAGTTGCTCCACATCTTGTAGAATTTGCTGCACATTGTGCACGTGTAGCCGAGAACCTGGTCGCCCATGTACATCTTCCGGTAGGCTGAAAACAGAGGGACCAAGTTAGACGCGAGCACGCGTTGAGCGCTAGTGATGAAAGAGGCTTGGCTTCCTCGACCAGCGAAACAGCTTCTTCTACGAAAAGCCTCGAGGGACTCTCTCTCGATTAACGTGCCGAAAGTTTTCTTTTTGCGCTATTTTTAACCCAGGTATGGCTACCTCTAAAATGATTTTACTGTAACCAGTTTGGGATCTCCAAAACAGCCCTCTGGAAGAACTGATATACTCGACGCGGAAACGGAGAATTAAAAATTACATTCGAGACAAACTTCCAACGCATTTCTAAATACTTCTGCGAGGTCTCAGCCGTACCTGGATTAATGGCAATTAATGCTACTCCATAACTGGAGTTGTGCGACAAGCTTGAAGCGATGGTTACCGTTCTCGACACGTTTTTCAGAGAAAAGAAAGCAGTCGGATCGGCAAGTTCACATTGGGATAATGGCACGAGGTTAGAAGGACGAGGACTCAGAGGTTCGTGAACTTAGAACGCAGTCCTGCGGAATTCGTTTATTAAAGAAACTAGCAGTGGCCGCTGCAGCTCAAGCATGATAAATCAAGAGTGGATTAAAACTCTTTTGCTTACGCAGTAGTGGTAAAAGTAACATTTTATATAAAACCCAATGCAATCTTCCGGATTTCAGGTATTTCCTCTTCGTCGGACGCTTCTCCTGTTCCTCGTAGCACTCGAGCCGCCATCCTTCGTTCTTGTATTATTTTCTTGATGTATTCCGTATACCTACGTACAATACTGCTTATTTTCGCGACGAAGAACTTTAACGCTGGGAGTTCGAGTGACACCGAGCGAAAGACGGTACTACCGCTACGAATATTCTTTATTTCGACAGGAATATTATACATTTATCGTGAATACTAATAGTCAGTCTGCGCGTAAAATAAATACTTTTAAGGACAAACCATAAATGCTCCCGAAGGAATGTTACCATTATCTTATGTGACTGTATCTGTAGATCGTTGTCAGAAGGTACGAAATGTACGAGGAAACATGAATAACAGAAGTACATTTGTAAAAAAAAAAAAAAAAACGTGTAGAAAACTTCTGTAATGCAGAAAATTGTTAATTGGCTTATCACAGACTTCCGCGGCAGCTTCAAGCATAGACTTCGACGCTCTAGAGTTTGTTCGAATACAACATTACATAAAATCGTCCCATTACACATACTTCGTATAATTTGATCCGTTCAACATCGCACTTTTTTTTTTTTTATTAATTACAGTTAAATCGAATTCCATAATCGTATATGGAGTACATTTAATTTATAGATTAATATGACAATAGGTAGTCTTCGTATACTTTCCCTTATTCTGCAATTACGTCAGAGTAACGAACTGTAACGCGAAGTAGAATGTGGGAACTCTTTTTGAAGGCGGGTATGTACTTCCGTTTGAACATTTTCCTGTTTCGAAAATTTGTCTAGGTCATCGCGACCTTGAAAACGCTACATCCCCACCTGCAAAAGAAAATTCCAAATTTTACTTTATTCGCGGGTCCGTCACTCCAATTCATCGCCATCAAGACGACGCCATCTTCCAGTTAACATTAGTTCAACGCGTGTCAGTCGTCGAGGATGCTTCAACGAACGTGCATCAATTGTTGTGGTGTCTCTTCTTGTGGTTATCCATACACCATTTGTGCGGACTTTTGTAAGGACACAACTCGCACGCGACCTTCGGCTTCGCGTTGATACACTCGAACTTCCGGTGCCGCCACAACGATCTGTGTACCGCGTACGCCTTGCCGCAGTCGATGCAAACGAATTTTCTTTCGCGCATATCCATAATGCCGCGTTGTTGGCGAAACTGTAGCCGCTGATCGTTTCTTCGGGCGAATCTGTTCGCCGTCTCGAACGCGTAGATGGTTTTGTAAGGCCACAAGAACTCTGAAACAATAACAAGTGGCTGGTTAATGCGAGCAACGATCGACGACGCGCGCTGCGAGATATTTTAGGTCTCTTCGATGGACACAAACACATGGCACAAGTAACAAATTCGTTTCGGCGGAACTGGGGACATTTTTGGAGAATTACCTTTGATTCGACGGTGGCGTTCCCGTGACGGACGTAACCTGAAAGTAAATCCTCGATACTTTTACGTCGTGGGGAAAAGGACGAACGGGTGGACCCGTTTCGCAGTCGTTGACCGATTCGTTCCCGAACGTCGATCGGTATTCAAGGAAACACACGTTCGTAGTATCCTAGTCAAACGTATCGAATGTTTTATTACATTCTCGAGGGATTTACAAACAACCTGAGTGCTTTAATTCAATTTCTCGGTAAAGTTGTGTCTACAATATCGTTTCACTACGAATAAATATACGCTGCGAAGTAAGTGTTATAAAATACATATACAAATTGTCTCGCGTTAATTAAATGTTCGCTCTCTATCGGTAGCCGATACAGTTCTCGGGTATTTAAGTCTAGGTTTTTATTCTTCGCCATTTCCCCTCTTGTCGAAGAACGAGTATTTTTCAGCAGTGATCGCGAACGTTGTAAAAAATGTAACGTTCAATCGAGAAAATGATACGTCAATTTCGTGCTATTATGCTTTCGATCAGGGATTTTCGGTTACGGCGGAGTCGAGGGGGAAGCCCAAACGAAAAGCTAGAAAAATAATGTCTGCAAGGGAAAAGCGTGTTCCGAGTATAATACTGAATCGTCACGGAATTACAAAATTTTGCGGAAGATACGTCGTAAGGACACCTATACATACTCTTGGTTTCTTCTTCGACAATTACAAATAATCTCCGCTATGCTACGCGTATAATCTCTGGCGGGTTTTTCTTTAATGTAATTTACACGGAATTGGCCATCGCGGTTACACAGAATCAACGGCCACTTGTCTTTGTCGCTGTAGACCACAGTCTACGATTAGGGTTGCGTCAGGGTGACGGGCTAGCAAATAAGCCTTTTGGATAATTTTTCTGTAATTATATACACCGACAACTAAGTTCGTCGTTGACGCAAGTTTGAGGAGAAAGACCATCGAGTGTCCTCGATCTACAGCTAAGGATCCCTCACCCTCGGTTTAGAGCTACAGGCAATTAGAAGGAAGAGGAAGTTAGAATTATTTATTCGTCATTATTGTCTTCAGATGGCTGCATCTGTACTACGATGTCGAAAAAAAAACATACTTATTTATCGATTCACTGAAATAGAAGAGGATACACGATATCCTTCTTAAACAAAATTTCTAAGAGCCATTTCATTTTCTCATCCAGTCATCCTGGCGCAACTTCTTCCAGAGGAATATCAGCTTCGGGCCCCAAAAATACTGACGAATGAATATTTCTTCCGACCATACCGAACGTCCAGTATAAATATTCTCGACTTGTATTAAAAGTATATAGAAAATATAAGGGTTAACATACTTTTACGAAACTCGGCAAAAATAAAGTTCGAGGGATGCATTTTTAACATATGTACGAACCATTTACGATAGACACTCGGTATTGTCGAAAAAAATGGCCAAAAATCAGAATCCTCTTTGGCCACGATGCTTCCCTTCAAGGAGAACGCGAGGTCTACTGTTTCGCCTCGGCCGAGTCAGGGGTGCGATGAAAAGTCTTCATGTGCCTTCGCACGCAGAACGAATAGTTGCTGCGGAAGTTGCATAGATCGCAACGAAACTTGAGCGCGCCTGTTTCGTGAACGTTTCGAACGTGCCTCTCCATGTTCGCTTTGTAGGTGCTCTTGTAGGGGCAAAAGGAGCAGGCGAACTGAGAATTCCTCGGGTTCATCTTGCAGCCGAACTGCATGTGCCGCCTGAGCAGGTTCTTCAGAGGGAAGACTTTCTTGCAGAAACCGCACATGTGGCGTTTGTGTACGAACTGATAGTTGGGGATGGATTGTGCCGCCGCATCAGGGATTTTAAATTTATCGAGCTCCGAATGAAGCAGCCCGTCCATGGGGTTGTAGCCGTCCGCGTAATTCCAACCACCTGAAACAAACCAAAACAAACATCGATGAAGCAGAGTTCGCGGAGACGAGACAAGACAAGACATCGTTCGTCTTCGAATCGAACGAAACCTACGCGATACTCGGAGGGAGTCGAAACGTATGTTGACGCAGTATTAAATGCAATCGTAAATGATTTATGTAACGTACATTTTATTGGTCGGGAACAATTGAGAACCAGTAGCAAGCACATAACAATTCTTCGTAGACGAGCATGGCCAACACGAGGTGCGAAATGGCATTCTCGATCGAAGGGAACGAAAGGAACTAACAAATCTTATACCACGTTTAGCTTAGAAAAGTCAAGCGTCGACTGAGCTGCTCGACTATCGTCCTAAACTGACGTTTGGAATCGTAGTCTCAACATTTTTTTCCGTCGAGGTCTCTTTGAAGCTTCGAAACGCTTCAAGACTCTATGACAGGCTGAGTCAACCGCGCTTCGCACTCGCAGAGATTCCAAACATCCACAAACAATCGTTAAATTATGTGTGTATTGTCACAATCGACGTACAATCCGGTAGCGCGAACTGTTTTGATCCAAAGACCAATAGGAGTGTGTTTTATCCAGGATCTACCAGGTGGAGTCAACGATAATGTTTCCCTATAGATTGATGGTTATGCTAATTCGTGAAGTGCGGGTGGGTGCATATTTCTCATATGCCTGAGGAGAATGTCCTTTCTGCTGGTCTTGAAGACGCATATGTCGCAGTGGAACTTGGGTGATCGTCCGCAGCTAGTGCTCAGATGACGTCGCAGGTTCGTCTTCCAGGTGAAAGGTCCTTTGCCACAATTCGGGCAGAATAAGATTGGTTTCAGTTGGACCTTGCGAACCGACAGGCTGATCCCTGAAAAATCAGAAGCGAACGAGTTAGAAAAACGAGCCTCGATCGCCCAGATTCGAGTTCAATCGGCACACAAACGTCTGGAAAAGAAACTTGCATAGGATCGTCGAAACATACCGATTTAGTAATGGGGTTGTTACGATACGTACTTTTTTTTTGCGAACGATACGTTTATTGAAACTCATATTACGAATAACTACAACTTACTGACAAAACGCACAGAAATTTGGTCCACTCGCAACAACGGCGCGTGTTTATTCGGACAGGAAAGCTTTTCTTTCTTCTGTCGACGCAACAAAGAACGAAGAAAAAGCTATATTCGTACACAGTCGAAAGCGCGGCTCGACGAATCAATAGATCTCCTCGGTGGACGCGAAAGTCGCGTGTTCGCGCACCACGTGATACTTGAGCAAAGTCGGTATCCTGGCCCTGTGCGTGCAATAGGGGCAAGGATAAAGCGGTTCCATCTGACAGAAAAAATTCATGTGCTTCCGCAAGCTCCTCCAGTCGCTGTACCTCTTGGCACACTTCAAACAGAGTAGGTCGTCCTTGCAACGTCTCCAAATGTCGCGTGGCAGTTGGTCGCAAAACAGCCGCCCTTTGACTGAAACAGGAACGGAATGGTTGCATGAGTGGTTGGCATTCGGCAAAAGAACAAAAGAAACGAACGAACAAACAAACAATCAAGGGACGGAACATTTCTGCGTCAGAAACATTCTTGATTAAATAAACCCACAACACCAGCGATGGCCTTCTATTTTCATCGTCAACGTATTAGAATCGTAGACGTGAGATCGTTTCGAACCTTCCTAGCAAGAGTGACTGAAACCTCGAACACGAATATGCTTTGTTAGTGATGCTTTCTCTCCTGTGTGTCCCGTGGGTATAAATTGAAAGGAAGTACACCATTGTAGAGAGCATGGGGGTACGTGTCGTCTAGACTGAAACCAAATGAATAATAATGACGAAATATGAAGAACTCGGACAACCTGAGTCATAATACGCTGTCCATAAAAATAGAAGGCTACTACCAGCATCGTGGTTTTACTAGTTTCTCAACGTCCACTGCAACTATGGCTACGGCAACGCTCCTCGAAGTATTCTAAACTGTTTTTTCGAGCATGTAACATCGATCGGTGGCACTGAAACGACAAAGACGGGTCTCGAGAAAGAAGAGATGTTAAGTTCGCAGGCCGGAGATGGGAAACTCGGACGGGAGAGTGCACAACGAAGGGAAAGAAATGATCGGGAGCATTGTCCTCGACTACGCTTCGATAGACATCGATATGCTCGAAACTCGAAGCGTCTCGACGAAATGCAGATTCACTATCGCAACTCGATTTCTCAGTTTCAAGGTAAAACATCACACGACGTACATAAACCGTGTGTATTTATTGTTCTTTTTTATCGTTTTAAGTAACACCTTACACAACAACAAAGTTTTTTTGTCTCTTAGATGGTATCTTTTCGGTATCGCGAATCAAAAATGAATAAACAAAAAAAAAAGGATCATCGATTCAAACTAAATTATCTTTTTCTTTTTTGTTTCGACTCGCCAAGAATTGAGTACGGAACGCTATTCTACGTCATCGTCAACGAGAAAGGAAAGAACGCGTACGAGAGACGAATGATTTTCACAGCCCAAACAACGCTATCAGTCGAAAATTAACGAGAAAAATCGGCCGTCTTAGGTTTGACTACAGCGATACACAACTCGGCGAATCGGTTCGCGACTCATATCCTGACTTTTATTTAGACGGTACTACGAGTCATTGCAAAGATTCTTAACTGTACCATTGCAAATTATTTAATCTTAATCCCTTTAATAACGCAGTCTTAAATGATTACTTCGATTAATAGAAAAGAAAAGAAACAACAGTAATGATAATACTAATAGTAATACTAATAATAATAGAGAATAGCTTAGAAGATGCAGCACCATCGAAGTGTACCAAGCTCGACGATACATTCCTCGCGTTTTCGTTTGATGGAATACGCTCGTGCCATCCTCCGTGCACATCCGAGTAGTCTAACAGCACTTAAAACGCGTGTCCACTCAGTACGCGCATGATAATGACAAATCTGACGACAAGGAAAAAATCGTATCAAAGTTTCGTAAGCTATCGAATAATCAGCCTTATTTTAAAAAACATTTTGAAAACGAACAACAAAGCGTATATGTTCTTCTTGTACTCGAATACATCGACGATGTACGTACGGAGATCCAACTATAAGACACTTTTCAAGAAAAGGGCACGTAGTCGTCGCGAAATCTGATCAAATGCTTTATCTCTCTGATTCGTGACCGATCGTTCTCTCCCCAGTGGACGTGAATAAAATGCTTCCACGTGCTCCAGTGCCGATCGCAATCTTATTTTACACATTATTGTGTGTAACGTACTTAAATGTATGTATATATGTATATACATATATATAATATTTATATATTTATATATATATACGAATCTTCTTTTTTTGATAGTCAAAAAGCTTATCGAATTAAAAGGCCATACGAATTCCAGCCGTTTATTGAATACCTTTGTTCGCCAAACAGGTATTCTCGTCTTCGAATTACGCGTTCAAAGTTCGTTTCAGGATCACGGTTTCGCGGATACTTTTTCGCGTTTCGTCGAGAAAGAATTGCGGTTGCCTAAAAACGCAGTAGTACGGGCCGCGCGGTACTGTTTCTCCCCCTTCGAAATTTTCCCCTTTACCAGCTAACCTACTTAACACGACGTGGAACTATTATACGCATAAGTGACACTTGAAACGTTTATCCGCGTGATATTCGAAAAGATTGCTCGTTTTTTGTTTTTGTTTTCTCGAGGAACCGTTCCACCGATTTCTCGGCGAGGGTAACCGTCGCCCAAGAAATACGGTAAATATCGCGATTCAGAAGCTCAGGACGATTCGAAGTACTCCCAGAGGAGAACCTTTTCTCGCGGAAACGATTATTCCTATTCTTTAATCCCTAAAAACAACCGACGAGAATAGTCTCTGCGTATTTCTTTTTGTTTTTTCGTTTTCGTTTTTTTTTTTTCTTTTGCTTTTCAAAACGAAGATTTATATTCTAGAGTCGTCCGAGGCCTTTACTTCCACGTGACAGGCTTCCATCGGTTGGTATTCCGAGGGAACGGCACCGGTGTTGTTGCTGTCGAAGCTCTCGTTGTGGAAGTTCCTCAGGTGTCGTATCAGGCTGCAACGCTGGGTGAACTTGCGGTTGCAGAATATGCAGCAGAACTTCCGTCTGACGCCGCACTCGAACCTCACGTGACGGACGAGGTTCCCTTCGGTTACGTAGGACCTGGTGCACCGGGGACACTTCCACTTGCCGTTGGTATTTCTGATTTTCCCGCAGACGGTGCGACGGTGACGGTTCAGGGTGAATATGTGGGTGTAGCCTTTGCCGCAGCTCGAGCACATGTAGGGCTTGTCGGTTTCGGGTATCCAGGCAGAGGAGCCCTGAAACAGCAACCGTGGATCCGCCGAGCAGCCCAATCCAGGATCGAACGGTGCTGGGGCGTTGTTGGGGATGTCCGGTGGCGGCAGGCACTGCTTCAGGAACATGGTCCGATAATTTGGCTTGCTGTCTGCAAAACAAAGCAGACGAATTTCATACGTTAGGGGGGGAGGGGAGGAGGGACCGTGAGTCGGGGGCGGAAGAAAAGAGAGCGTGTCGAGGCTCGAGAGTCTACTTCGCAGTCGAAATAGACGTGTCGGCGATTCGATCGATCAGAGGAAGGAAACATGAGAGAAAAAGGCGTTTAGAAAATAGCACAAATAAAAAGTTAAAACGACGAACAAAAGGTAACAGAAACTCTCTTTCCTTCGAAACGGAAATGGAAAAAGAAAAACAAAAGTTCGTAATGAAAGCCGATAATCTCGCATGTCCGCAAGAGTTAGAACGATTTTCTGCGTGAGGGGGATGTCATAATAATTATTTTATACGTACTTGTACATAGGAACAATACGCATGATGAGCATCTTCGACATGAGGTGACGTCGACTTAAGTAGGATTGCGTCGCAGTAAAAAAAATCCGATTATTCGTATGAAGGAATCCAAAAAAAAAAAAAGAAGAAGAAGAAGAAGAAGAATATTGAGACGCTCAAGTTCGAAAGCTGCACGACGTGCTCGTGGAATGAGCAGTGATTTTTGATCAAAAAAGAAAAAAAAAACCATAGGAAGAGTTCTGTGCTTGTTCGTGTCTTATGCGTATTTATATATAACTAGCTGTGCCCCGCAGTTTACCCCCTTAGGGGTTGAATTTCGAAATATTCTTTCTTATTCCTTGTATACATCATAAAGGAAACCTCTGTGCAAAATGTCAGTTTTCTAGGTTCAAGGATTTAGCCTGGACGTTGATAGTAATCAGTCAGGGTTTCGTTCATATATATGTAGAAGATTAAAAAGGTGCGCGATGATTGTCAGGTATCGCCGTATCGATCAGAACTTAACAGTTTAAAACTTTATTGTTATATTTATTACTGTTGCTAGACGCTACGTGGCACAGTCGAAATTCAAACGTCTAACTACGTATCGATGCTCTAAGTGGCAAGTTAGGGTAGACCTCGATAACAATACTATTATAATCGAACGCGTTCAGCCGGGACAAAGCCTTTACAACGTGTGAAAGTTAAACAGCTATCTATACAATCTCCGTATAAGACCGAGGAACTCGAATAATTTAAGGTCCATGCACTTCGCCTATGTCCATTGCGCGATTCAACTAATCTTCGTGTGAAGAATCTTGGGACGGTCGTGGAGAGGAACGCTCTTCGCGATCGGTGGATGAAACGACGGATCGGACGGACCATCTTCGGGGGCGAGGAACCAAGCATCGATCTTCGGAGACGCAATCTTCCGCGACGATCGAGGACGTTTTCTTCCGGGAAGATTCGATCACAGACTCTTCCTGACGAGCTTCTGCCTAGGCGGACAATACACATTGTGGATACGCATCAAGTGACGGCGCAGGTTGACGTTCTGCGTGTAGCTACAATCGCAGAAATCACAGGCGAAGTTCTTTTGGCCACCGCACTCGTATTTGAGATGCTTGTTGAGACTGTGCTGGACCTTGTACCTTCGGCCGCATTGCCTGCACTTGAGCGCCAGGTCTTCGTCCCTCAAGTAATTGGCGTGTCTCGATCTGCGGTGAAACAGGAATCGAAGACTGGCCAGCTCGCGCATACCTAAAAGAACATTAATACCACAGTCGCGTTAATCACGAATTCGATCGATTCTACCGATTTACGTGCGGTCCTCTCCCACCCTCGCCCTCCCTCATCCACGCTCGAGCGATTCGATCGATTCTCACGGACCCTTTAGACCCATCTAACCTTTCCCTCCTTCGGCGTCGACAGCCTGCTACAAATGTAATTTTGGAAATTTGATTAAGTTGGAGATTACAAGGTACAAGACAAGCTGTTTGGATTTGGGGATGGTGTGGATTATAAGAGCAAAAACAGTTACAGAGACATTATTACGAGAAAAAGCTAAGCGAGACAAGTGACCTGTACGGGATAGAGGTGATCTGATGTTTGCGGAGGGGGACAGGCTTTTATCCGAACTGTTTCGATGATCGGTTGGCGCACATTGGGGTATGCGACCGAAAAAGCGGAAAAAAGTCGTTTCTCCCGAGCCCTCAAGTATGCAATAATTCCCTAATTGCAACAAATAAACAAAACACTGGGCTAAATATACAACTGTAGTCAGAAAATGTTTTTCCCCGCTTTTTGGGTGAAATACCACACGATGCAACGTTCAGAACTCGAGTGTTCCTATAGCATTAGAGTAGACTCCATTCCGTTGACTATGTCGATTTTATGGATTGCAGTCAGATGACGTTGCAGACTCGTCTTCTGTGTAAAACTGTAGCTGCAGTAGTAACAAGGAAACTGACGTTTTCCTCCGCATTCCCATTTCATGTGCCTCCTCAGGTTGCACAGCATTGTGTACCCGCGGCCGCATTGCTGACACATGAACCGGGGCCTCATGAAACCTGTCGAACGAAAAGAAAAACCCCACTGTCAGAGAACGGTCCATCGAACGGGATGGAAGGAATTGATTCAATTGAATTGATTGATTTTTCTGATTCAAATGAAGGTATTTTAACCGACGAGCGTCCTACACTCGTGGGAACTTCCGATTTGCCTCGATCGCGTGTCACCAGCTTCCGATATACCGTGACGGTTATCGCGAAGTTGGCAATAACGTTTATCGACCGACCGATCGGTACGGCCGTGTCGTAATCTACGCAAATCGTACAACCCAATAGCAGTGATTAACTCTGGCAGCGATGATTTTGTGCGTGTTCTTCCGTGATGACTCGGCTGTAAATAAAAGATTTCTTCTAGTAATGCTTTTCTACGTACAACAAGTGCGCGTCTACATGTAAACAACATATCCCTAAAGACTTTTACAAACAGACAACTGTAACAGATTTCTGATGCAGAAATAAATCGACAATTGACACGGGCTGTAAATAATAATTTATTATGCGAAGAGGAGAGGGACAAAAGGAGCAGCAAAAATGAATAAGTGACAGTCAGATGATTTTTAGAGTATCTTCATTCCTCGAGAGGTAAAGTGGAAGAGAATCTTCATCGGTTGTCGCATTCGTCGTTGACTTCAGGTTGTCCAACGAGTAGTCGGTGTGCAGCTCCAACGCTCGTATACAGGCTCTTCGATGATGAGTCTTGGGAAGCTGTCGCCTCTTTGTGGTAGAGTTCAATGGTAAGGAGATCCTCGTAGAAATCTGGAAAAAAACGTTCATACCTCGATTAGAAAAATCGAACGTTAGGAACTTTATTGGACCCTCGAATGTACCGATCTTTGGAACTGACAAGCGAACAACTCAGAGCCAGACGTTTGTATTATAACGAAAATTCGTGAATGGCTTACCATCCACCAAATTTCGTTAAAATCCAAGTACTAAGCCCGGTTCCTTTATCAGAGACCCGTCGATCTCGCAAAACATCCCGTTTCCAATCACGAGTGTCAATTATCGTCAGCTCCTCCGTCCGTCGCAGCCTCGTCGAAATCGTTGGCTCGCATTTCGATACTTACCGCAAACGAATCGGCCCGACCACGCGACAAACAAGCATGAAACGCGTTGGATAAAACTAGTGGCTTCTCGCAAGCGTTCATTTTCCCAAAACTATTTATTGTTACTCTCTCATCTATTGTCAGAAACGTTACATAAACAAATATCCACGCCCGGTTCTATCTACTGTAAGAAAAGATAAACTAGCGTCGACACCTAACTTATTTGCACAAAAATGTTCCATCTACGAAGACTTCGCACGGGAAGGGTTTTAGGTGGGGTCCATTCAAGTGCTATAAGTCGGCCTTATCCAAGTCTTTCGCGGCGGGATGAAGATATTGTGCGCGTTCAGCATGTGCTGCCTTAGCTTCCCATTCTGCGTGTACCTCGCCGGGCACAAACTACAGCCAAAATGCTTGCGCCCGCCGCACTCGAATCTCAAATGTTTCACCAGATTGTGCCTCATTTGGTACGATCTGCCGCACTGGTGACAGGTGAACGCTTCCATATTCCTGAAGCATCCGTTTCTGGATCCCCCCGCGGCGATTATCGGCTCTGCAAAACAATGAAAACGAGACGTCAGGTGTCTAAAGTCCTGTGAGAGAAAACAACCATCGCAAGGTACTCTAGCGGTTATACTAGTCGCCGTCGGGAAACAGAGCGATTTTGGATAATGAAAAGAGTGGTCGGGGAATCGTGTGCACCTTTTATTCCGCGTTCCTCGCATAATAACAATCTTACATCCTGTACAAAATGTGCCTAAGATTTCGTCCGTAAGTTACCTTTAGTCTCGTTCGATTAGGTCTACCTTGTCGGTTCGAAGTCTTCCAAATTCGTGCGAAATAGAAGAATGCTCGAGTCGGGAGGGGGGGGGGGGATCGTTTCCATCGAGGCACGTTCTGTAAAGTAACCGTGGAAGAATTCGATAAGGATAGACAAGAAAGTACGCGTTCTATACGAGGCGTGCCGAGCCGCGAAGCGTCGCGATAAGTCATCCTCGTCGAAAAATTGACGATTCGTTGGAGAATTCCTGCAAAGAAGGTCTAAGAGTTCATCGATCCCTGATCGAAAATGCGCTTAGGCATGGAGAACTTTGGCGGTAGGTAAATGTTGTGTCTTTGCAAGAGATGTCGGCGCAGTCCGATATTCTGCGTGTATTTCGCCGGGCACACGTGACACGTAAAGTTTCTTTGTCCGCCGCACTCAAATTTCATGTGAGTCGTCAAATTTCGCTTCATCTTGTACGTTCTGCCGCACTGGGGACACTTGATGGGCGACTCCGTCTCGCTAAAGGAATGTATCCGCGTCACGTTACTCCTGAGCACGTGGCTCCTCCTGAATCCTAGAAATAAACAGGATAACGTGTTAGAGAAATGCACGGGACGCACGCTGGACAGATAAAACGATTATATTTCACTGTCGAGTAAGTTTCACGCTTTCGGTGGATCCGTCAATTCCCCTGCGGAAAAAAGTCGTCTGCGTTGCTTGAGCGCAATCGCACCGTTTATCGTAGTCAATGCGTATTCGTTTTTGGGAAGTACGTAAATTTATTTCAGCCATACGATTACACTATCTTTGGACGCACATTTGGGAGTGGTATCGTCTACGAAACGTTTCACTACGACGGACAAGACAGCTGAATTAACTAGCGACGCATCGCTACAGCTCTCGACTATTTAGTCGTAGATTTCGCAATGATAACTGGAGAAATAAACGATCGATTCTATTCAACCCTAACCAGAATCGCTACAGGTTGAGCTACGCGAATCGTTACGTTAAGTAATGCGTGAACAACATTTGAAACCAACATGTATCGTTATATACGTTTCATGCAATATACATAATAAGTATGTATACGGGATGTTTTTGGAAGATATTGCTCGATTTTAACATCTTCGCGCTCTTGACCACGTATGTGGACGTTTAGTTTTTTATCATTATAATTACTGTTAATAATAAATAGAATAAAAATTTGATAATAACAAAAAAGAAATCGTCCCTGAAGAGGTTAAGGGTTAGAATAGGAAATGTGTAAGCATAGGCGTACGCTAACGATATACAGAATATTCGATACACATGGGAAGGATCACTGGAAACAAAGTTCTTGAGGTTGTGATCCGAGCGTGGCAGGGATACGTACCTATCTCTACTTAACAAAAACAGGACCATACAAGGACGACGACGACGACGACTGGGTGTTGTATCGTTAACGAACAGGAACTTCGACATTTAATATCTCTTAGCGTTCAACATAAGACACTGATCTAACCGTTTACTCTTTTGACATCGCCTGCAGATGTCTCAAAGTATAAAAAAAAAAAAAAGTAGTACGATTATGGAATTCCACCTGGTCTAGCCAGCAGAATATCGAGGAAAACTTAGTTCGTGCGGGAACTGGATGGGAGAAGATGCTAGATCATTGTTCTTCCATTACTCTTCCAAGTCGACGAGCAAACATTCGCGAGCCAGCGGCTAATGCTTAGCTCTGATATGTCTGTCCAGATTTGTCTTTTGCGAGAACCTGTTGTCGCAAATGGTGCAAATGAATCTGGGCTCGACACCGCACTCGTAGTTCCTATGCCTCCAAAGTGACGTGAAGGCCGCGTAGACGCGATTGCAGTCGGGACAACCGAATCTCTTCTTTTTCATCTTCTTGCTGTCGATGGAGTCTTGCGTAGCCCTCTCGAACCCTTGCGACTGCTTGTTACACTCGAATATACGGTGACGGGCCATGGAGGCCATCAACGAGAATGTTCGATTGCAATCCGTGCAGCGGTACTTCCTGGGGCCCCAACGATGAGCGATCCCCTGCTCGTCCTTCATCGTCGTGGATCGTAGATGCCTGGTGTACGAGATGACCCTCGACGTCGATGGCAACGTCGGCACCGTCCAGTTCGACGAGCTGTAGCCTGACCCTGAAACCGAACAAACGGAAGCGATAACAATTAGTTCCTCGTTAAATACAACGCGACTTAGTCGAGTCACGCGATCGAGACTCATCGTGCCACTGATCTGAAAACAGCGAATCGGATGGAAATTCCGAGCGATATTAAAATACATAGAATCTTTATTTACATGTCACATAAAAGTGTCCTGCACGTGTACAATGGTTGAAATGGTTTCGAAGGTCAGATCTGCTCAGTCGTTTGCGAAAATCGACTATTTGCAAGAAATCGAGACAGAACGAAGAGACAGAAACATCGAGAATGATTCGAGGGTGAAATCCTCGCGCGTATACTCGGGCGCTACTGTACTCCCGCAGCAGAAATCGATGCACAGTAAGGAGAATTTCTCGCTACACGAGGCGAACGAAGTACAGCGACGGGGATTACTGTAAATTCTGCGTGAAGTCGTGATAGGAGGCGAACATGGTCCCTGGGATATCACCGTGGACGTCCAAGACCTGCTGCGGTCCGTACTGAGAGTTTTGGTCGAGCAAAAGCGAATGCCTCGCCAATATGTGCTTCATCAAGCTGTCCTTGTACCTGGTCCTGTGTGGACAGAACGCGCACTTGAATTTCGGATCGATCCCGCACTCGAAGTCGTGGTGCCTCTTCAGATGGTGCTTGTGCTTGTACGTCTTCCCACAAGTGGCGCAGGTATGCTTAAACGCCGAGACTGCGGGATACTGGGACTCCACTGAAACAGACACAGATAGTCACAATTAGTCGAAAGCGTCGTTCTCGCGCGAGGCGCGTTACCAAGTTGGGTCGGGCGATCTTGAACGATTTATTCCTCGGATGTACCGACGGATAGCGAGTAGGCGAAGTAGGAATGGAAACAGGGTGAGACACAGACAGCCGTGTGGTATGGAACATGACAGACTTTTATTTGATCCGTGTCACTCGTCGGGATCTAACTTGCGAAGTTCACAAAGCTGAACGCTAACGAGCATTTCGCAACGCACGCTATCGTCTTATTCTGTTTACTCTGTCTCTTGTCCTCCCCCCCCCCCCATTTTTCTGCCTGTACTTTGTTTGTTTGTCGTCGTTTTGCGGTTTAGTCTACGCGTAGAAGCTAAAACAGAGATATCGGTGGATAAATCGATCGGCGTGGAAGTTATCGAGAGAGAGATCATGCGTGCCGCTTCACGTCGTCCAATCTACTTCTAACACAATTCACTCGAAGCGTCGGTTCTATGTTTGTCTATGCTTCGATTGGTTATCACCGATCACTGGAATGAGATACTCGAGGACCCCTGTAAGTTCTTCAAGGGTTCCTGTGCTGTCTGACGGTCGCTGTGCGCGGCGTGAATCCCTGCCTGGCGTGCTTCATCATGTGCACCTGCAGATAGGATCTGTAGGTCGCTCTGTAAGGGCAGAACACGCACTGATGCATAGGTTGTTTACCGCATTCGTTTATCACGTGTCTCCTGAGGTTCTTCATCTGATGGTAACGACGGTCGCAGTTGTCGCAAGCGAAACGTCCCTGGCCGCGAGATCTCCTACGGTCCCTCGTCACGCGACTCATGAAGTATCTCATCTTCGTGTAATCTGCAATCACGAGGAAAGAGTTTCGGTTAAATCGTGGCCTAGACGGAAAGCGATCGTCGTTCCTGAGGATCGTCGTCGTAGGACATTCTTACGTTCGACGGAGGAATGGTTTGTTTCGTTTAACGATACAACGTATGCCTCTAAAGCGTGTGGGTAAAAACTGTGCTCACGAGTAGAAGAAAGAAAGACGCTCAAGCAGGGGCACATGGGAGATGAAGAGTACTCCAGTACTGTCTGAAAAATGAAACGAACGGGACGCCTGTTTCGATCGCATGCAAACGGTATTAATTGTACACATTGACGATGGGGCTGGGCGTTGAGATCGTGGATTCAAAAGAAAATTCAAAAAACGGGGAACGTGTATGTCGATACAGTCACAATTCGTTGCAACGTGTGAACAATTGCGTGAACCTGGAATGCGGTTCGTTTGCTCGCAAGCTTCGATCCCTCGATATTCCGAGCATCGTTGATTTACGCTTTAACAAGGTGTGTACTAAGAATACAATTACCAAACTGCGTTTAGCCATTAGAACGTATGGTATATTTTGTTGGTTTAAAAGAAAAAACTGTACATTTAACCAGCGGATCGACCGAAGATGCAACCTCGTATCGAGATGACAATACTATCGTTAATGGTCGAAACAGAAGCGGCGATCGATCAGCGTCGACAACTTTTCACGAAACTTGGGATGAATTCTCATCGCGTGCTTCGACATGCTGGTCTTGTACTTGCTGCTATATTGGCTGTGCGGACGTTTGCAGGCAGACTAAGAGAAGGCGTATGGTTCCTTGGCGGAAGTCTTTCTAGTAGCGGCCCATTGAATGCTGGAACCTCTGGATCCGACCCCAGCTCCGCTCTGAAATCGGTGAACGAACGGTTAGAATAATAAATTTTGTTAGGGCTTCATTAAACGTACCTCATCCACGATTGCTTTTAAACGAGTTTGAGTTAAAAAAATGTGTGTACAGGGTGTTAAAAGAATGTGTAATTTTTAGAACCCACAACTCTGTATAGTCCAAGGAACCAAAGCAACCGAAGGCACATGTGCCAAGATTAGCGCACATGTGCTTTCGATTGCCTTGGCTCTTTGGTGTATACGGCACTTGATGCGAAGCGAACGTGAGAATGGAAGGAGATTTTGCATAAATATGGCTTATATAACGTGTACTCAAAGTTTCGTCAAAATCAGCGTTTGACGTTTCGCAGTGTTCCCTTGTAAGTATTTTTCATAGGAAAATAACAAAATGGTAGAAACGAAGGGCAAAAAAAGGAAAAGTCTCGAGGAAAAGTACGGATTCCAAGGTTTCAGTTTTTACTTTATTAAATAGGTATGCGCTATAATGGTGATTCCTACTCTGCTCGAGCCCAAGTATCGAATCACATCCAACGGTGAAACGCAAAAGCTCTACGGATGTTCTCGTTAATAAATAGAAACCTACCAGTGGAGTTCGAAATCGCGCAACGATTTACTCTCGGTGGTTTATTGTCGGTCACGCGAATCAAAGTAAAATGGAGACTGTTAACGCAAAAATGTTGCTGATTCGGATCGAGTTTTGTGCATGTCCGCGCATGAAAAACTTCCGCGGCTTGGAAGACTGCTGTACACTGTACTATGCGATCTCTCTATGTTTAGACTTTGGTTGCAAAATGTACGAGCTCGCGTTGTGCGCGACGATTAATACGGTGATTGAGGTAACAGTTCTTAATACTTATGCGAAAACATGGATGTTCCGCGTTCTCGAGCTTAACCGAATCCTTAATTTCGATGATCTCGATTAGTCGACGAACCTACGTTCTACGCGCGCGTGTGAGCGTCCTTTCCCCTCACCTGAGCGATTTTTATTTACCGACAAACTAAAATCTACGGACGTACGGATACGTCGTGCGCGATCTACTCGACTCTGATCGCTTCTACAGCGTTTACACTCTTACGAGTAAAGGATATAATACGTTACAGGTATGTAATACACATGGCGGTACAAGAGGGATTCATGGCGCCTCGAACGTTTCTCGGATTCGCAAAAATGTTCCTATGGAAAATAGAAACGATTATAAAATAACACGGTAGAATATTCGAGACACTACGAAATTGTCTAACGATAAGCGCCAGGAAAGTGATTCTTTCATCCCTTTGTTTTCATCGGCGCCTCGAATTCCTCGAACGAGGGAGACACTGTACGAGCATCTCACCATCGGGTACAACTAAACCGAAACATTTTCGATGTCATTGCACTTCGTGGACGAGAGAAAGTAAAAGACAGTCGTTTGTAACACGTTTCGACGAGTTGTAAAAATATATACTATCGCGTCGAATGTTCGCCGTAACGTCAAAGGGTCTTAACTGCCTGGCCGACCAATCCTGTACATGTATAAGCGCTATTCGTAAATACGATCGGCAAATGTATTGCACAGACGTCTACAAAACTATCGATGAACGTATCGAAACACAAAATGGATATTCGTTCGCGAAGTCAGAAAATCGTCCGAAGAGTCGCGAACTACTTCCCAGCATCTGTGGTAGATGAGAGTTTGTTTCTATTCGGCATCGCGTAGAATTCGCTGAGAAGTTTCATGTGTCTGCCGTTCAGGTGAGTGTTCAAGCTGGACTTGTGCTTTGTCCTGTAAGGGCACAGAGGACAGTGGAACTTGGGTTCCACGCCGCACTCGTGCTTCAAGTGCCTCGCCAGACTGGAGTAGTAATTGTAGACCTTGCCGCAGTTCTTGCAGGGATAGGTCACCCTCCGACAATTCAGCAGACCCATCGCTCTCGCCTCTGGAAAACACGAAAGGCAGAAGAAGTCGACATTAGAGACGATCAGTGGACCAACGGGACACTTCCGCGCGAATTAGGATCGAGATTCGTGGCAACGGATTGCTCTACAAAAAGAGTACAGTAATCCCCGGATAACGGACGCCGAGTCTTGTGTTCTTTTCGCATTCTGACTTAAATTGTATCCCACGAAAACAGCGAATCGTGATAATTGCGCTTACGTCATCGGGAGATTACTGTACATAGCGCAAAATAGCGTCGGCTATCTTGAACTACGTACCTTTCGGGACATTTTACAAGGCACTATATCGCAATACTTCGAAGCGATACGCGAGTAAAATCACATTTTCTTCGCAACGAGTTTGTACTTTATAAATGCGGTTAGGACTGGGAAACGCTGTAGCAAATCGTGAGGTACCATGCAACTTGTTACAAATCAGTTTTTTTTTTTTTAAATATTAGGAAACGCATGACGCGTCATTTTCCGCAGGCAAAGAATGAATCGTTCTTGATAAATTCTCTTAATAAAACTGGATTCCTTCGCGATGATCCGTTCTTCCTCGATGTCTCCGAGTCGATCTCCTCGAGGACTGCCTTCGGAACTTCTGGTCCATGTGTTTCGTTTTCTAGTTTGAAGAGATGGAAGTACTTTTGATACGTAAAGTCAACAACGTTCAATATATTTATCATCAATACATAACTGATATCTGTATACGCGTTGTATTTTATTTACAATAGACGTCCGTAAAAAATTAGAGTAACCAACAGAAATTTAAATTTCAGGGATATCGAATCGTTAAAGACGACGAAAGCTAAATACATGATATCGCAGCGAACTTGGTAAAGTTCCTGCAGGGAATATTCGGGGATCGTTTACGGTCAGAAATCGTCTCGAGCGTATTTCTCCATCAGAAACGGTAGGCCTTGTTTACTGTAACGATGGAGAACAGACTTGGATATGCCGAAGAGCTCGGCCGCCTTCCTCAAAGATAGTCCGTTGTTCACGGCCTCGACGGCCGTCTTCACATGTTCGAATTCGCTTTTGCCGTATCTTCTTCTGAAAAGTTTCGATTTTCCGTCGTGAAAATAGTATCCTGCAACACGAATCAATCGTTATCAAGAGAATCATTTTTAAAGAGAACGCCGCGCCCACCGCCAACAGAAAGTGGACTGAAACAGACAGAACGATTTCGAGGATCTGTGAAACATTCAAGCCTTCACCTTTTCATGATTCGATTCGAAGTGAAATATGTATATTTGATAACGAAACAGAGAAAGTAAGCTTCAACCTCTGCAAAGCATCTCACACCTCTGTTCGATGACACGACAATCACATACAGTCCTGGGTTTCAATCGAAACTCTCGAAAAGAAAAGGAAAAATTTATTTTCATCGGTCTGGTATAGATCTCGGTAGGTACAAACAAACAAAAATGTTCGCCCGTGTCTGACGATTAGAAACGAAAAACGCCTCTTGTAAAAAAAAGTTCGCAGCGATCCATGGTGATTGAAACGTCCACGACAATCGAATTCAACGAATGTAACCAACTATTTACAGATGGTCGACGTTGGAGTCGATGATAATCCTAAACGAGGGCATCGGATCTTCTTAAAGGTCAGTGTGGATCCTCTTCACGTGACACTTCAAGTTCCACTTTCGATTGCTTCTATAACTACAATACGGGCAACACTCAGCTTTCTTTTGGCCACAGAAAGCCTTGACGTGCTCGACCAAGTGATGCTTCCAACGATACGACTTGGAACACTTGGAGCATTTGTATCGATCCGTTAGAAGATCCGTGGATTCTTTCTGAAGGTTTTGGCCAGTTTCGCCCTCCGAACCAAAGTAACCTCCGTTGTAGGAGCACCTTTCGGACCGAAATTCGATGGTCTCGACTCTCGTTGCAGGATCGAACGACTGGTAATCCTCCCACAGGGCCAGTTCACCTGAAACACAAAGTCCAACTCGTCATTGCCCGTATACAAGACCGGAGATGTCTTAACACTGCCGAGGATCGTGCAACGAACGTTAACGATCAGAGTTTCTCGGGACACGTCCAAGTCGAACAGACATAGAATCGTTTACTTACGTCGAGACGGCATAGGCACGGATACGTTATCAATTGGCTGACGACGATACAGGAAGGGACACAAAGTTGGATCTATGATCATCCTGAGAGTTCTCGACAAACATATGACGATAATAGGTTTATTGTTCTTTCTTAAGATAAATTTTGTGGATACAAAAGGCGATGCTATGAAACGACAAAATGAAATGTTTCAAAACTTAAAAGAAAAGCGCTGCTGGAAGCGATAGTCGTTAATGCAATTTGAAAATGTTTATATTTCTCGTTGCTCTAACGCAGGTAGTTCAAGAGGACATATCTTCGTAGTGCTTTCGCGACATATGCTTCTTCAAGTTCGACTTCTTGTATGTACGGAACGAGCAATACGGGCAGAACTGTTGCTTGTCTTTGCCGCAAAATATTCTTTGATGCTCGGCCAAGTGTCCTTTTCTCAAATAGCTTTTCAAGCATTTGAAACAGGTGAATTTGCGCTTCGGGCCACGTTTCATGCTTTTCTTTCTATAGCTGCTCCCTTTGTGGCCACTTTCGTC